CTATAAGGGAAAATGCCAACATGGTAGTGCGGGAATGCCTCATTTTCTGGGAGAAAGTAAGGATTCCTACAAGAGCGACACCTCATTATGTAGAAAAGATCATGAAGATGTACAATCATTGGCGTAATCTTCAAAAAAGTACCTGCCGTAGGTCAGAAAAGCAAGAAGAAAATGCACGTAACTTTATATCAGATTTAAATAATTTGTTTCATATTGCTCACGCTAATGCCTTGGAAATCATAAAAATTGAAGACAGAAAACTTTCATTGGGTCAAAGAGAACCAGGACGGAGAGGATGTCTAATGGGAATCGATATGAAGCTAGCAAAGTGTGAAGAAAGGGTATTTATTGAGAGTCATGGAACAAGAAAACAGACGGGCTAAGGCTCATCATAGTTTGGAGATAGATGACAATTTCATGGATTCATCAGAAGAATCGTCAGGTACCGAAGATATTTCTGATCAACCTGGGCCTTCATCAAACATTGCCCAGTCGTCTCTTGAGGAAAACATAAATGCGCAGATAGAATTAAGAATGGGAATTGTACGTGGGAGAAAATGTTTCTTAACTCCAAAAATAATGGCTATACTCGATCGATTCCACATTAGTCAGAGAAGTGCTGTTTTTATTCTCGAAGCCGTAGCTGCGTCTTTAGGACACAATATAGATGAACTGGCAATTAATCAAAATACGATCCAAAGATATCGGGAAGATTTTCGTACGACAAAAGCTACTAGGATTAAAGAATTATTTAAAGAAATGAACCTAGTTTCGTATGCGTGCATTGGGATAGTAAATTGCTACCTGCTTCAAATGTGAGAGATTAAAAAAGTGAAAGACTGCCTATTATTGTTACATATAAAGATGAAGAAAAATTGCTGGGAGTGCCAAAATTAGAAAATTCTTCAGGGAAGGAGCAAGCTATGGCTGTCTGGAATGTTTTAAAAGATTGGGGATTGGAAGATAAAGCTCAAATTCTTTGTTCTGACTCAACTAGTTCGAACAAGGGTCGTATCAACGGTGCTATTACATTTCTAGAGCTGTACGCAGATCGAGAGATGATATATTTTCCATGTAGGCATCACATATATGAATTAGTGCTACGAAGTGTTTTCGAATATGAGTTAAACGAGGTGACTTCTAGTCCAGATGTAGCTTTCTTTAAAAAAATCAGAGAAAAATGGAATAATTTGGAAAAAGAAAATTATATGGACGAATATAAATACTTGAACGCAATATGTAATGAGAGCGAAATACTGAGAAATGTGAATTATCTTTCTAATGCGCTAAAAAAAAAAAAAATT